TTGGCCCGTCAGATCAGGTCAGGCCTTGGCTAATTTAGACCATAAATGTTTTTTCATCTTTATGTTAACCCACTGAGGTTTTAAAGATGTTTCTATTAATATCTTTGCGATGATACAGCACAGAAATGTGGTTTAAATGTTGTTAGAATTTGTACACTATCCAGTCTCTGGTTCATATACTTCCAAGATCATATGCGACTCATAGCTGGAGCTAGAAGGCCAATAAGCAGGCCTCTAACATGTAGTTCATTTTAGGCGTTTATTATACATCTATCTACTATTTTACTCATATATTGTGCTATTTTGAAGAACCTAAGTCTTTGATAAACCCATTTCAAGCATCAAAACAATTCAGCCACATCAGTAAAGGTTTGTTTTCATTAAGGATCTGAAGAATTTCAAAAACTTCAAAATTTAAATTTTTCTGCATGTGGGGCAATTATCTGTTTGCACAGTGCTCTAGGACAAAAGGTTATGTTATGTTATGTTATGTTATGTTATGTTATGTTATGTTATGTTATGTTATGTTATGTTATGTTATGCAAGTAGGGAGGGTTATGGTTAAGATGTACAGATGGTATAGATGGTTGGTTAAGGTTTAGAGTGGTTAAAGACAAAAGAGATTGTAGGCAAGACTTCTGTCTATTGCCCAGAACTGCAGTCCACACACACACACACACACACACACACACACACACACACACACACACACACACACGCAGTGTCAGCTTCTACCACCCCCTGGCAGCAGCTGTCACTCATCAGCGCTGGGTGCCAGAGAGGACCAGAGCCAGTCTGCTCTCACTCAACCTTTGTTTGCCGTCCTCTAATCATCCGACCAGTGATGTACATCATCTATTTACTATGCCAATGAACCAGAGGGGGCTTTCCTGTAGGCTGTGTTATTCCTAATAAGCCCTAAAGGAGACAGAGATGACAAGTCTTGAAAATGAAGTCAATGGAGTGCTTACTCACAAGCTTAATCACTTGCTCTCTCACTGCTTGGCATCATGTGCATGACAGATTGTCAGTAATGTGAGTAAATGCTGTAATATTTATGTCTTCCTTTGAAATGACGGTTTTATTATGATGCCACAGTTAGTACTGCTCTGATAATACAAAGCTTATATAATCATGTAAAGCTTTTCCATGTCTCTGAATGTGACAATGCATTACAACTACTCCATCATCACTGCAAACTACACATCCTGTATATGTAATCATACAGAGACCCAATCAACTCTGCTGGCTTTATATGTGATCCATTTGCTAAACCACTGTGGATTACAACAGGAGATTGTCTATACACTCCTCTGCACCATTTTTATAATGGCACCTCTGGTTATGGAGAGTGGCCTGAGAGTCTTAAAACATGAATAACTTAGTGGAGGAGAAGATGCAAATTTCTGCCTTCTAAATAGGACAGCTTAATAGTAAAATCCCCTGCTGGGACTCACCCAGGACAGTTAACAGTAGGTGGTCTCATGTAAAATTTACTGTGGTGCAGCTACAGTATTTCTGTGCATCTAGCACCCCCCAGTGTTGACACAAGGCATCACAATGTGAACCTAACAACTGATTTTATACCCTTGCAATTAAAGTAGATCTCACCTGATTTGCTCAAGTCAAAACTCAGGTTCTTGTAAGGTCTTTGTTTAAGTGTACATGTCACCATCAGTAACCTTTAAAGACTGGTGTAAATGTCTCTCATATAAACTGACTCAAGGCATGACATTGCGTGACAAACACTGTTTCACACTGATGGATACAGTGCAAATAATCACAGAGGCTCGCTGCAGCTCAGTGAGCTCAGTGTATTAAACTGATAATCGATTATTAAAAGTGCTTTTGGGCTTTTAATTTCAATTACCATATCTAAACTTTCATAACAATCGAAACGACACTGCAACATAATCTGTGCTCAATTTGTAAACTCTACAGGACTCAGATCCAGCAGTTTTTACACCAAATGGTCCTTTTCACAGCAGACATTTTGACAATTACCCGGACCCCAAAACCAAAGCAGCCAAATGGAATTCAGCCACCAATAAATTGAACATTTACACCTGTGCTTTTCCTATGTGACATGTGACATGTCAAAAACTCCACTGTGAAAAATGGCCATTAACTGTACATATATACCATGTATATTGCATAAATGGATGTCCACTGGCATCCATTTATACAATAGTGGTGGTGTATGTGGCCAAAAAAGGACAAAACCCATGATTTTATGTTGCAACTAGAACCCTCAGATTTTCCACTGCCTTAATGTTTAGAAGAAATCTGGTGAGGCTGCTTTCTTTTTCTTTTTTAATGAAACACCCTCCTTCTGGAATTTGAACAGCAAACTGAGAAAAAGAAATTCAAGACTTGCATTGTTAATCTGGCTTTTAATTCTACTTTGTTAAATCCTAAATCCTTATTTTTGATATTTATATAATTTTTTTCTTTTGGGTTTATTATCACTGTTTTCACTGATTTATACTATTGTGATGAAACATTTTACATACTGTTTATTTTGAGTTTTATTTTCTGCTTCTTTTTAATTGTTTGGTGAAGAACTTTGGGCTGCATCTTTGCATGAAAGGTGCTTTACAAATAAGGTCATTATTAGTAGTATTAATACATAAAAGTGAATTAATGCAGCATAAAACTGTAATGTATTTATAATTGTGAAAGGCTTTCAGATGTAGAAAAGGGGAAAAACTATGCACATATAAGCAGTATATGTGCAGTATATGTATATATGCTATTAATAAATTATGAAAATTGACAAGCTCTCCAAACACACAACTCCAGTACATGCACTACACTACTACACTGCTCACAAGAACCGTGTGTATTCAAGGAAATCTATGAACATTATCAGTATCTTTTCACGGTTATTGAAAACTGTAAAAAAAAAAATTAAAAAAAAAAAAGTACTGCAGAATCACTTTACTCTAGATTGACCCATAAAATAACATAAACACGAAAAAAAAAAGTGGCCAGGAATCTGACAGATATGAGAGTGCTGCCAACCCACATGCTAGTTTCCACCTGTTTCAGCCTTAGAGAGAGAGAGAGAGAGAGTCTGGTGGTTTTGTCATCACTGACTGAATGTGTCTTATTCAAACTGGTGTTTGGTGATGGATTTTTCCACAGCCGTTCGCAGGACCACACACAGTGATGCACATACACGGGACAACGTAATTTAACTGTAGCAGCGCCAGAGTAACTCAGTCAAAACCTCTGGCTACTCACACCAACACCAGTACGACTTTTCTCCTGTGTGAGGTCTCTTTCTACGGCTGCAGTTTCACACTGGATCAGTTTTACAGAATGGAAGCTTTAAAGTGCGGCAGCCCTGCAGTGGGAGAATGAGCACTGAGCAGCAGCTATATACTGCAGAAATAAATAAAGAGGAGACTATAATCTACACCTGATGATCACTATAAAGTAAATGGGGCAATAAAAATGGTTTTACTTTGAGAACAGAACTGTTTTATGCTTATTTATATCAAGATTATCATTTCCTTCAATTAAGAAGTAGTTTACTGTGATGTGTGCTGTAACACACAGTCTTTATACAGATGCTCCTGGCCCTGCTCTGTCTGCTGCCTCCATGTTGACTCTATTTATGATGTTACTGTAAGGCTGAAATCAATTTAGGTGTGCATAATTCATTTGTGAAGGAAATGAACACTGCTTTGTGGATATTAATCAGTTATGCATTAGTGCGCTGGTCATCAGGGAGCATGACCTTCAGACAACCTTGAGCTGGAGGTTGCAGGGGAAGAGAGAGAGAGGAAGAAATGATATGTGAACACACCTGTAGAGTATGTATCTGTCACCTGCTAAATTGGGTAAATCTAAACATGGCGGTTCTAAAAAAAAAAAAAAAGACGCAGACCTCGAGAAACAGCAGCTACTGTATAGTTTGAATGTTGTAAGAAAAACTCACACTCTGTCAGCTGAACAGTTCCACACATAAAAGGGGCATGAAGTACCTGACTGAAAAGCAACACAGGCCCTCGATGCCATTTGAAACAAAAACAGAACTTGGATAAAACTTTTAAATTCTGTGACTCAGTCAGTCAGTGATAGAAATGCATTTACTGCACATAGAAAAGAGAGCTGTTAAACTTTGGAGCCAAACTCATGACCAGTATGAAGCTTTTACATAAAGCCAAGAGGAGAATGAGCTGCCTCACAAACACCAGCCCCACTGCTCACAGCCACAGAGCTCAAAGAAATGGCATCTGCTAATAAAAGTTTATATGTAGGATATGTAATAGGATTAAATGAAAAACAGCTCACTTGGTACATTACTCACATTTTCAAAAATTGATTAATTAAAGAAAAGCAAAATGCAAGGAAGAGAGGGAAAGAAAACACTGTCAATTAGGACACAAACATTTTTCACTCTCCTCCCAAAATGGGGTAAAAATCCATTAATAAAATGAGCGATGCTGTTCAAAGCAAATCTGCAGGTTATATCCTCACATCAGATATTGATTTTGATTATTTATCATTAGGTTAATCACTTTTTTTATATATCCTTGTATTCCATTGTTTGGCTGTGTTATGGCATCACTCCCAGTTTACTGTTTAGTGCACTATATTTATCCTAGACCATTTACTTGAAATGTATGCACTATATAGTTCCTGTACTTGGCATGTGGATTAATTTATGCTAACAATCCCATGATTCAATGCACTGCATTTTACAGCTGCACATGTAACTGCTGTGTGACACTATACCTGTCCATGTGAACAGGAAATGATGATGATTCATGGGCGTCTGTGATGTCTACTACACTAATACTATTGAGTGTCTATTACTTATGGAGCCCTGAATGAGCGCACAAGGGAGTGATTTCAGACACAGCCATTGTCTTTATGTTGCAGTTAGTTCTGCAGCAATGTTCAACATTCATGCAAATAAGGCTTGAATGGGTATTAATGAGAAAAAAAAGGAAGTAAGTGACTAAATACATTTACACACAAAATTTCCCTTGATTTTCTTTATTTGGATGTGCCTGATTTATTAAGGAAACAAATGTAAGATTGTCAGTTGCTGAATTTCACCGGAAAACATCTTTAAACTTGAAATGGTTATTTCTACACAGAGAGAGAAAAGCAGCATTAATGCATCCAGTATGTTACACAGAGAAACTCCCTTTGAAACAAAGTGTAATTTCCAAGAATGTGTATGTAATTTGTACTTTACATTGCAAGTAATTTCATATGAATACCTTTTTTAAAAAAAAAGTCAAAACAACTCAATAGTCCAGTCTAGTGCAGCTGTTTTCATTATATTTAGAAATCTTTCTGAAGCATCAGTGGCTCAATACATCGCCCACTTATTATAATGACCTCAGAAAGGTAAATCTACATCAATACACAGGTATTTCCATATACTGGAATGTCTATAATGTGTTATGCTACAAATATCATCTTCCATTCCATTTCATCATATTGTAGATACAACTGTAGGAATTAGAGGAGCAAGGCTATAAATTACAAAGCTCTATTTAGGCACGAATAATCTCATTAGTCCTTGCACATACGGGGGGGGGGGGGTCCCAAAAAACAAAGTGTAGGAGCTACAGAGATGGGAATCCATATTCCCATGAAGGCACACGCTCCTGTAGCTCTTGTTTATTTGTTCTGCCCTGAGTGATGCAGATACACGCTAAGCTACACCTTTAACAAAGGTCTTAACTGCTCTGGCTCTTCTACCGTCCATATTTTTCATGCCCCTCCTCGCCGGGCTCCGCAAGTCAGTCAGATGGTTCAGAAGACGACTGTGAGAAGAAAAAATCACTTCACTTCACTTCTGAAGCCTTTACAAAATAGTTGAGAGACAATGCAAGTGGTTGTGATGGCTTGATAGTCTTTAAAATAGAGAGGGTTAAAAATCCTTTAAACCAAATACCACTATTCCCAGTGCATCTCTTTTACTTGTCCTGTCATTTTTAGGGAAAAAAATCTTCAGATTGAGAATAGGCAGCCTGCTGCAGAGCTGTGCAAACACAGATGAATTAACAAAGAAGAGCAGGCAGGAGGAAGAACTCAGGCTGTTCAGTTGTAATAAGAACTGAGGGGAGTTGCGTGTCTTCATTTTCAAAATTACCACCAGTCAGTCAAAAACAGATTTCCATTTGTCCAGTCAGACTTGAAGCAGTTTGACTGGAGCTGTAGTGACTTAAGTGATGCAGAGTCATGTTGGTCACGGAGGGCAGATGAGATGGAAAACAGATCCTGGGTCAGCGCTGATAAACGTCTGGAATCCAGGTGTTGATCGTCTTTTCACACAAATACAAGGCTGGTTCCAGTTTTACCATTTAGTGCTGTTAAGTTGTTCCCCCTTGCTCTCTTGGAGCAGCAGCGCCAGGATTCACAGTGTTTTTGTGGACCAACAGAGAGAGACTGAGTGCACTTTTTGAGAAGTTCTCCTGGTTGTAAAAATCACAGACTGTCTGTGCGGGCGTGGCAGCTGTCGCACACTCTGACTGGATGGTCCCAGCCTCGGGAAGGCACAGGCTTGATGTGTGTGGAGCAGGGTCCGCACACGCCCTGTCCGCAGGCCCGACAGTGGTGTTTGGACATGACTGAAGTGAAGGTTTTGGAGCACTGGTGACACTGGGTGATGTCCTGGTCTGGCACCCAGTAGTCTGGCCGAGCCACGTCCTTCACAAAACCTAAGGGGAGTGGACGGAACAGTAAATAATTAGTTTCAGATTTTCAGCTGAGGCTGTATGTTTTTTTTATTAGAGCATAATATGCATGTCCTGAACAGACCATCCTGTGAGACTGCTTTATATTATATACACTGGGGCTGGTGTGAATCACTTTACAGGGTCCCAAGCACCATTAATGTTTATGGAGTAAATCTCCAAACAGCCATTAAATATCTCAGATGGATTGACAGCATCTATCCCATTAGATGCTTATTTATGGCATTAATTCCTAGCAGGTGAACCATCAATTCAAAGTGGTCCCATGGTTCAGAATGTCCACATCAAGTGCCAGAATTTAGAGTCAACCTTTTATTGTTGTGAGCAGGGTTTGTTGCAACATGGCCGCCATTGGTATGTTCAGTCCTAAGCAACAACAAGATGTGAAATAAGTTAAACTTATCTAACAGAAAGAGAAATAAAACTTTTATTTCATTTTGATAAAGACAATTTTGGCTGCTGGTTGCGTTGGTGATACAACAGGCCAAGTCATGGTTTTACTCTGTAAAACTGGTGATTAGAATCACTAGTGCAGTGCCCGTTCAAAATGTGCCTGTCAATAGGGGTTGATTGCTTGGCCTGTGTTAATCCAGTTGGCAGCTTTCTTGAGAGCATCATCCAAAATTCACAATTTTGACAGCGCGTCCTTGGGTCCTGAGTAATACACCCTGCAGTCTGTCTCGTTTGTTACTGCTGGAGTTGGCTGCTCTGCTCCGATCGCATCTTGCTGACATCGTAGAAGGTACTGTCATAGTTGAGCCATGCCTAAAACCCTGGCATGTGCATGCTTTAAATTGTCTGAGTGGTTCCACCTGTTTCTTCGCGCCATGTAAAAAGTAGAAAAGTGATGTTTGAAGCTTTGTCAAGAATTGCTCAACCAAAATATTTTTGTTTTTTTGGTCGACACTGCACTTCCTTGGGTCCTCAGAAATACATCAGCCAAGTTTGAAGTCGATTGGATGAGCAGTTGTCGGGAAAATCATAGAACAGACAGAAAGAAATTCCTCCATTTATAGTTAGATGTGCACAAGATATGTAATTGTCAGACGCTACTTGACCATAGGGCTGCATACCTGCAATACCGTGGTCATGTGATGTCTACCACAGGGTTGAGTTCATTACCACCATCATCGCAATTCATTTTGCATTTCATTTTCTAGGCAGGAGTGCATGTGTTGTGTGATAAACACAATAATCACTGTTTCGTTATCACTGACTGTTTCTCATCTCATCCACAGAATTAGATTCTATTTCTGGCGATGGAGGGGTGTGTGGGTGTGAGGGGTGAGTGAGGGTTGATCTAACGAAGCATATTGTTTAGCGTGAGCTCAATCCCAGCACGCGCTCATGCAGCAGACTCTTGTCACACACACAGGCACACAGAGAGGGCTGGTAAAGTGACACACAGCGCCAGTAAAAACTTAATTGATTTTTTGATGGTCAATCAGCGGGATTTCTTCCTATGGCCATGACAGACCATGACAGACAGGTTCATTGTCAATGTGTGTGTGTGTGCATGTATGAGGGTAAAATGCAGCTGCACTCACAGAGAGGATAGTCCACAGCTGTGGTGACCATGTCCAGTGTAGACTGAGCCACCTCCGTCACCCTGCGAGCTATTAGACCACGAGGCTCCACCTTGCACACTGAAGACAAAGAGCGTGTACGTGTGTGAGAAACAGAGAGACACAAATCTTTGCAAAAACAGCAATAACAATAACCATAAAGCAGCAGCAGAAATGTAATATTTTGAGGTTTTGTACAATTGGTTGAACAAAAAATGACATCATGTTATGGGCAACTTTCACTGTTTTCTGATGTTTTAAAGACCGAATGATTAATCGCTTCATGTGGAGAACAATTAGCAGATTAATGAATTAATTAATCATCAATTCATGTTGTATACAGCATTCACGGTTACGTAATGTAAAGAAAATGCCAATACTTGTGGCTTCAGCAAGCAGCTTTAAGAGCTATAATTACTATATAGAAGACCTTTCATACATTTTCATGATTGACCTTTTATCTAATTTAACTTTCAGCATTGTTTGAGTGGTGTTTTATACACAGATTTCCTGTTTGAAGTTCAATGTTTGAATGTGCCTTACCCTGACTGTTAGTGTCAGGCGGGCCTCCCTGGCGGTAGCAGGCCTTACACACCCTGACAGGGCCATTACCCCAACCCCTCTCTGGCACCGGCATCCTGTGGCTGGAGCAGGGATGGCAGAAACCCTCGCCACAAGATCGACAGTGGTGCTTCCTCTCTGCCTCCTCAAACACCCTCTGACACCCATGACACTCCTGAGGAGTATGGGTTGGAGGTGATGATATAACAACGGAAGGACAGACATGATAATATTATCAACACAGGCACTAAGCGAATAAATAATTCAACAATATCAAACACTTGCACATGGAACTTCCCTGTTGTGTTTCTTGTGTGTCTCAGCTTAGGTTCTTCCTACTCACTGTGATCTCTGTGTTGGGTCTCCAGTAGGGGGGTGCCACCTGGTCAGTGAGCCAGGCAGTGACAGCTTTGGTGGGGCCGGTGCTGTACTCCGACACTGACTGAATCACGTAGTTCATCCCATCCAGGACCCTCTGGGCGGCGTTCTGGTGGTTGGTCAGGAAGGTGTCCGACTGAAAGAAAGAGAGAGGGGAGCCACATGGGAGTTTAGAGTCAACAAGTAAAGTCAGAGAGGGAAGGAGGAGAGACAGATGAAAAGATGATTGAATCATTATAGTACCATTAAATTGATCTTGACTGTAGCTGTGCAAAATGCTTAAAATGTGTCACTTGTGGGACTTCTGTCTGGTGAAAGTAGCCACAGACCAAACATCATGCAAGATATTGTCAGTTTCTCCATAAGCAATGTTGCGTACAGTATGTTGCAACCTCAAACCTTGTCAGAATGAAACGTTCAGCATAAAATGCCTTTAATGATCCACCAAGAAACTCAAAAATCATATCATCTCAGCGAATGAATGTTTTGGTCTGGCCTCAAGGAATAACTATCATAGCTAACACTGTATAATCTCATCCACCAGATGCCACAACAATAATTTCAGTATCAAGTTTTCTTGTTGGATGCTGACTGTATGTAACACTAAAGGATGAGTTACAATCTTTGGTTGCAATATGCTTATATTTAGAGTTAAGAAAGTTAAGAAAATAAAAAAAAACCCATATATTTCCACCTGTGGGTCAATTATTAAAAACTATTTGTCAAATAAACAGTGGGATCCAAACTGCACTTTAAATGATTCAAATCTAGACAGATTAATACCCAATACACAAATTTAAAGAGTGCAAGTTAAATTTTTTTTTTTTTTTTTTTAAAGTCCAGGAAATGAGGAGGGTAGTACTCACCCCCTCCCAGACATGCTTGACCTCAGATCGCACCACACTGCTCTCAGGGTCCTGGTTTCCCATCCAGTACTGTCTGCTGCGGTAGATTACACCACAGCTAGCACACTCCAACACATAACTGAGGGAGGGAGGGGAAGAGAGGGTCAAAGGGCAACGGCCATTTGATAAGATTGTGTGTGTGTGTGTGTGTGTGTGTGTGTGTGTGTGTGTGTGTGTGTGTGTGTGTGTGTGTGTGTTTACCTACCCTGACCAGGCATACTTGGCCAGCCCAAACCATGGGTTGTCAGAGGAAGCTGACGTCTTGGGCACAACAATCACCTCTCTGCCTCCTTCATAGCACCGCTACAGACGCAACACACAGATAATAATGTAGACATATATTTAAAATGTATATACATGTATTACTCTTTTGTAAGCCACCATGTAAAGAATAACTAGAAAAAGGACAATGGACCAAGAAACAAAATGAAACAATAAGTACAGTTGAAACCACATAAGCAGCGTCACATTCTGAACTGTTAAACTGGCTGAACAGTGCCAGTGTCAGGAGTCACTCTTACTTTACAGATGAGGACCTTGTTGTTGTACTGGTGTGCATACTGGCAGAGCCCATCTGCCATGTGAGGAACCCTGTCTCTCAGATGGTTCATTCCATTTTTACAGCGTATGCTGGAGGTGAGACAGAAAACAAAATGGTTCAGACAACATGACAGACATCAGACTGAGGGTTTGTACAAGTTTCAACTATGACTCCTTTAATCCAGAACTGAATCCTTTCAGAACCAGTGTTATGATTTCTCCCACTCTCTATCCTCTCAGATTTCCATAAAGTAGAAATACAAGCAGTTGGGGACTTCCATGTCTTCATTCCAAAAACATGGAAAAGACATCAATTTTTATGTGTCCCACTGGGGAGACGGTTAACATCCACAAGAGCAACAACAGATTTCTGCTTTAAAGGAATAACTTCCAACACTGTGTTTCAGCCAGGGACAACTCACAAGTTCTCTTCTCCACCTGGCAATAAAAGCCTTAAACGGATTCAGAAGAGGAAGGATGTTCTGTTTGTTACATTTAGTCAAAAGTTCAGACAGATCACTGTCAGACATGTTTAAAGACAAAGAAAAATACTCTACAACAAAAGAGTTTAAAATGGCCACGAGTCCTGTCACCATGAAGGCCGGATAAACAATACTATTCTCTGTGAAACAGTGAAACAGACTAATGGACAGTGGACTGGTGTGAGGTGGGGAGTACGGGAGCTCAGATCACTCATAAAACATCCAGCAGTGGAGAACTCTAAAACTGGGGGTGTAATCCAGCCACCCCCGACATTCTTAGTTATCAGCAATAAAACCTGATATTATCTAGGGGTTATTTTAAATCCTTCCTTAATTCTCAGAAACCAGAAAATGAGACTTGGGAAAATAAGTGTAACTGAACAAGGTAAGTGGTGAGAAGTTTGATTTTGCACAGCAGACGAAACTGTAATTTCTCATCTCTGACCAAATTATTTGAATTGATTTCAATTCATTTGATCTGAACCAGGCTTTCAGGAGAAATCTTTCCAGCTGTAAGCCTAGCTAAAGATTTCAGGCCCAATTCAATCTCTTGAAAGAAGAAAAGGTGAAAATAACAAAGACACCAAGTACCTGGTCAAAACTGTTTGTAACGACTTACTTGCAGCTGAGGCAGACAGCAGAGCAGGTGAAGTACTCGTCTGGGAAGAAGGAGTACATGGTCATCTTGTCATCAGACAGTTCCCCACAGAAACGCTCACTCAGGGCCTGGGGAAAAAATGAGCAGAGGTTTCTTCATCTCTCTGTTTCAGTTCTCTAAAACTTTACTTTTTGTGTATTTAACACCAAAGGTACCAGTGTACCACTTACTTCTAGCGCGTGAAACACTATCCCAGGCTGGCGGGGGGAGCGTGTGTGAGTGTTCTTCACTTGCTGCTTGACAGCCTGCAGCAGACTGTTGTAGTTTGTGGGAGGCCTGATCGTCTGGGTGCCTACGTACTGCACCGAGCTGAAGGCCTCTGTGCTCAAGCCCAGGTCGTGAAAACGCTTCTGGAGCAGTGTGTCGGCTTGGCCGGCCATTTTGGAGTCTACAGAAAAAGGAAACACAAGGAAATTAAAACCCATAAAACACATCCTTCATAAAGGCAAAAATTATACTTGAAAAACTAAAGGTGTGTTTTTCCCCTACCATGACCCAACAACTGAGTGTGTGTTGTCTCTTGGAAGACGATGACAGCAGGCCCGAGAGAAGAGAGGGGCACATCCAGACCACAGCGGCTGGAAAGGGCCCTGAGCTCCGGGGTGAAGTGCTTCAGGTAGGCCCCAGAGGCGCTGCTCAGGAACTGGAACATGTCGTTGTGGAGGCGTTCGGCTCGTGTACGATAGACTACAATATCAGACACTGCCAATACCTGGAAGAGAGAGGAGCAGGTGTGTATAGAGCTAAGACAGAGGATTTGAACACACAATATCTGCTAATTGTGTGAGGACAATAAATAAAAGAATAACAGTAGCTGGTAAATGCCAAAATTCACATCACATAACTAACTATTTTACCAGCCAACTAAGTTTACAAGGACATACTTGATACCCCTCTCACACTTGTGTGTTGATACTGCCGGCATCACATGGCATTGGAGCAACACTGAGCTGGGGCAGAAAACTGGGGGTCTTGAGGAATTATAACGCAATTTGGGATCTATTAAATGACAGTGAGTGTAAAAGATTACTAAATATTAGCTATAAAACTGTCTGAGTACAAAAGCCACTAGCCACAGCCAAAATTTATCAGCACAACATTTCTCACCGTAATGACAGACACCAAATGTGAAGTGAGCTGTACATTGATTGATGTGCAGCAAACTAGTATTTGTGATTTACTATTTTGTGTAAACACATCCAGCTATCCAACAAAACCAACCAGGGAAAACAAAAATTACCTTCAGCAGCAGCCGCATTCTCTGGTTCTGGTTGACTGCAGCTCCCAAGAGGCCCTCAGTATCCAGGGCGACCAGGCTGAGGGTGGGGTTGTAGGCAGCCCAGACTCCCACCGTACAGGAGCTGGGGGACTTTGAGGTGTAGAACACACTCTCGCCATCGAATAGGATGTGGTTGAGGGTGTGGGACTTCCCGTCGCCGGTGTTGCCAAAAATGGAGACGACCTTGACACCTGCAACATCCCCACACCCGAGTCTGTCCACAAACTCAGACTCATCACGGACCTGGAGGGAGAGGAGAGAACACCAAGCTGTTTATGTACAGCAGATGGATGAGGATGCTGGGATGCATTAACATGACATCACTGGCTCCCCTGCTGACCTCACTGAATCAAGAGAAAGTCTAATTGAATGTGTGAATAATACAGTCTTGGATGACAGGAAGCTTTAACATACAACAAAATAAACTGAGTTATCTATGGCGTGTTATGGATGGGACTATTTACATTCCGTCTACAAAAAAAAAAAAAAAATCTGTGAAAATTAAGGTTGTATTCATTACCTGTATGCTACTGAATCTTTAGCGCTCTAAGGACACACACTAAGAACTAAATTGGCTGTGCATACATCCCAGGGTACATGGATTAATATAAAAATAATCATTATCGACTACAGCTATAACAACAACACAATGAGATGGTGCCTCCCTGCGGGTCAGTTGTACTGTATGACTCACCAGGGACTTTCCCAGTGAGTCACTCATTTGCTGCTCTGCCTCCCTCCGTTGTAGTCTTTGCCTTCTTTCTCTTTGGGGTATCATTAGCACTCGTTATCGAAAACATATCTTTGGATTAAACACGGTCAACGTGACAGGCGTAAGTATTTGCTACAGTTGAAAATAATGGAGATAACATCTGTCATAAGCTTACTTTAATCAGTTGACGATACTAACGTGACTTTAGCTCGGTGTTTTGAAAGCTAGTATGGCTCACGTATCGGTGCTGTAACTGTTAGCATCAGTGACAACACATACTTATCGGCCTTCATTAGCATGTGCGTTGTCTTCTTCTTCTTCTTAGCCTAGCAGCTAATTGTTAGCTACCGTTAGCTCAGTTGACGTTAGCTAACTTTACCTGCAGGTTTTCCTGTTCATCCACCAGCAGGAAGCTCCGGACATCGTCTGGACGCTCCTCTGGCTTCATTGGACTGATCGATAAACTCTCCATTTCCTTCATCAGTATGTCGGACATCGTTGTTTAGTGACTTAAAACATATTTGAGACGGCGAGAAGCAAACCGAAAGTTCATCATGACTCCAGTCCGTCTGTCAATCACAACAACAGCGCGTGTATTGCTGACGCTGCGGGAGGAGCCAAGGACGTGACGTAAGACGCACCTTTGGCTGACGCGTTGGCTGATGCATCAGCACCACCGTGTGGTCAAAATCAGGCATAACACACAAACTGGCATTCAACAAACTTCAGAAATCATGGAATAACAAAAGCATAAAAATAAACGAGACGACCTTGCAAATTGTATATGACTTCGGTAGCAGATTTTTGAAATCTTAGATAAATTATGCAAGCCAGATAAACTCAAGTCCATACATGTGTCCCATTACCGAAAACTGAAAATTATGCGTTTTTTTAAAAAAAGCAACGTATTCATAATCACAGCAATACACACAGAATCAAAGTTTCCATTGAACTGGCGGAGAGTGTTTTATTGGAGCACTGCTGCCAGTGTTAGAGCTGCCTGCTAATGTTCATTAAATATTTGTTAGCACAGATCTATAAATATCACATGTCACTGAATGGCTTCAGAGCGGCGCCACTGCTAACATGACATGGAGAAAGAAATTCCAGCATTGCTGCTCTAACAGTCCTGGCTGAGCTCCAAACCTTCCTCCCTCCATCCTTCCTTCCTTCCTTCCTTCCTTCCTTCCTTCCTTCCTTCCTTCCTTCCTTCCTTCCTTCCTTCCTTCCTTCCAATAGTTGTAATAAGCTGTAGTCCAGTATAACACATTCATCTGTAGTCTATGCAAAATAATAGGCTACACCATCTGAGGTGGGTTTTTTTTAGAAGATACAGACAAGCAAGTGAGCAAGCAGGGGAAGAAAGCAGATGGGAAGGAATTAAGGAAGGAATGAATTGAGGATTGAGGAGTAAGGGTTTTGAAGAGGGTCCCAGCCTTTCTCTGGACTCAACCATGAGAGACAAATGTCTGAAAGAATCAATTATAGGCCTACTCCCAACCCATAGCCCCTGATTAATGAATAATTAAAGCTTCTCAGTGCAGGGCTACCTAGCATAGATAATATAAGATTAACCATGGGTCTATCAGCATGCCACCACTAATGTAAGGTTATGTAGACACAATGTCTCTTAATCTGCCCTAAAATAGATGGTTTTAACTTGTTAATAAAGGGTAACAGCCTGTAATTTAATATGATGCAGCTTTTCTAACTTTTCTTTAGCAGATTATAATTGCACACCATTATATGTTAACTGTAAATTAGTAATATCTTTCTGAAAATAAAGAAAATACAATTGTATGTCTTCTTATTGCTAAACTTCTCTATATTATGCACACAGGTAAGGTGATATCTGGCCAATACCTCAATAAATTAACACCTGCTGCCCTCCTGTGCACATACCCTATATGCAAAGACAAATAAATTTTAAATTATGTATTAATATTCATTTCTAATTTAATTAATTCATCATGAAATGTATCCAACAAGTTGCAACTTCTATGATGTGATGCAATTTTAGGAGACCTCATTCACACCTCACCCATCATCATTATCCAGACAAGGCAACAAAGCATAAGAGAAGCTGGCATCCACAGACTGACAGACAATCCCGCAACCCAACCTTGACATAACTGTAGACATTTTTATTATAATTTCGAATCTTGGGGGATGGCTTTGCCCTTACAAGTCCGAGGCGGGACTGTGGTCCACTTAAACCGCTATCCCCGCCGGTACTTGTAGTACTCTCCTCCTCGGCATGTTTCATGTTGACATGCGTAAAAAACTACACTTCCCCAAAGCTGTCACAGAGCGCTTCCGCCTCCCATTGGCTGCTCGCTCCAGCCGCAGCCCCAGAGAATGAATGAAATTGAAATAGCTGCTACATTACATGTACAATACCGGGCTCTGCAGTGTTGCATTCTATCATACTATATCAAAATGGCCACAGCGGTACAGAATCCCCTCAAATCGTAAGTACCACACATTTCCTGAGCGTTTGCGCTTTTGCTATTTTTGCATGCTGTCAGTGCAATTTAAGACCCTTAAATTCCCAGATAATTCTCAGCATGATTACCAACACATCTATACATGCATGCAATGCATACAGCAGAGATAGAGATAATGTCACGGGATGCGAATCAGCCGTAAAGAAAAGTTATATTTAAAGCTGACGGGGGGTTTCTGTGTTTTGGGCATGAGGGGATTATTGTGCGCTCCGATGCAATTCATATAACCATTTCCCTGAGCCAACAGCAGCGTGTGCGCAGGGATATGGAGGAATGCTGGAGGTAGACTTGGGTGACCCGGTATGTCCCTTGCCAGTGTAGCCAGCCAAGATCACGGTCAAAGCCAGGCTGGAGTGGCAGGCTGGCCGGGAGGCAGGGAGCTTAGATGGCTTTACAGCACCTGTGTGCACATTTTTTGGACAGAGAGGGGGTAAGCAGGTAGGCAGAATGAAGCTCACTGCTCGGGTTTTAGGCTGCAGCGTTACCTTTACTGCCGGACCTCTCGCAAATATATAGGATGAGGTAAATACACTGGTGCACGGCTTCAACTCCGAGACTTGCATTAATCTTTAGCGCCCATAATAAAGCTTATAATTAAACCTAAATTGCAATCCGGCGTTTTAGACTAAACGTGCACCTCAGCGGATATTTATTTCCGCTAAGTGATATTTTAAAGGGTGGATTTCCCGTGAAGTTTCACCTGTGATGATCCCCTTTGTGCAGTTTTTTTGGGGGGGTCCTTTTTTGTTTTTCTGAGACTGGTTTCAGCGGAATGCAGACGCCTGCTGCCCGCCTGGGCTCCCGGCCAAAAAGGTGGCTGATGTGCGTCTGTAAGCGGGTACTTACACAGATCTAGCCGGACAAAAACCACAATAGCTCCAATATAAACATGCAACCGAGGAGAGTTTGAGCACACAAAAGATTCAGCTTAGGCAGTTTGAAACAAAGAAAAGTCACAAGACCTGTGTACAAAGCAGGGGCGCACAACTGATGCTGTGCAGGTTTTTACCTGAGCAGGAATATGGGATGTAGAGTGCCTGCCTGTGTATGTGTTTGTCTGTCTCTCTGTCTGTCTGTCTGCTTGTCTGTCTGTCTGCTTGTCTGTCTGTCTGTCTGTCAGCCTCTCTGAGATGCAGACACAGGCGACATTTCGTGCAATTCCATGAACGACTGCCCTGTACGTGCCTGTTTTGAAGAGCACTTGACAGGAGAGGGGATTGCAATGGTACTCATTGGGCAACTGTGTGCTGCCCTGATTGGCTGTGATAGTATTTTACTGTTTTGGTCAAATGAATTTTACTCTTAACATAACAAACACTTCAATAATAGTAAAATAAAGTGTAAGGTTGTCAATTCTAAGGTGTGATTATAATCTAATAAAATGATATTCAATGATATTATATGATGATGGGACAGGAATGGACAGATGGGCTGGATGAAGGCTGTATTGTTGGACCTTTGAGTTCAGAGCATCTTCTCCTCCTCTCCTCTCCTCTCCTCTCCTCCACTTTCTCTTCCTCCTCTTCATCTTCCTCCTCTCCTGTATGGGATGCTCGTCCAAGCAGAGCCACAGTGTGACCTGATTGTTCCCAGAGGCCTTCAGTGACACCATGTCAGGGGATTAAATTGACTGATTTGCATGGAATATATACCAGGAAAGATTGAGAGAAGACTCTGTGGTTGTAGGAAGAGAATAGGATAGTGGGAAAGAGTAGAAAGTAAATTTTAAAATAAAATAAACTCAGGACCAGCATGTGATGAACTAATGCCCAGTTTTCAATCATAGTTTTAAAAAGATTTTTAAATGTTTATATAAAGTTAGAGAAAAGAGAAAATAAGGAGACATATAACACACAGTCAAGTTGTCAGGCAGTTTCAATCCTGCAGGGATGCTGGTGCACTCTTTGACGACAGCATCTGACCCTATGTGCAGAAGCAAAGATGAATACATTTATTACACAAGGCCACAGCAATCAACACTGCCTATAACATCTCACCAACTGTATAAATGCCATCGTTACGCAGTATGGGTTTAACTACGTTTCAGTTACCACAGTGAGATCGGCTTTTAAACAAGCCCTGGTAATTAGCATGTCTACAAACAAACTTGCTATTAGAGGCTTACAAATTAGGGGCCGATCCAGCAAAATGGGCCAAACAACTAGCAAAATTTGGTTCAATGTCAGCCCTAATAGGGTGGCTGGCTGTGCGCCGGAGACAATGCCTGTTGTGTCCATAAATGTCCTTAAACCTTGTTGAATATATGCAATAAATTATAACTAATTTAGTGGATGTAAATTCTGCGGGAAGCATTTACAATTGTTGCCCATTGCAGAGCCAAGTGTGAGTGGGACTTTGCAGTGTGATAGCCAGTTGATGTGTATGTGTGTGGAAGTACAGTGGTGGGTTCATTTGTGTGCTGAGGCAAATCAGTGGAAGGAGCGAGCAGCTAGCCCCAATCTACTGGGCATTTCCTCATACCAGCCCTCACTCTGCCTATCTCTCTGCTGGATTAGAGACTCGTTTAATCTCCCTTTCTCTCCTTCTCCTCTGATTCTCTCTCCACATCTCTCTCTCTCCCTCTTATTTCCTCTCTGTCCTCCCATCACCCCTGCCGCCCTGTCTCCCACGTTCCCTCCCTCTTTCTCCATCACTTTCTCCATCCATCACTCCTTTTCGCCATCTCCCTTTTGTTCAGCCATTTCCTCTCCGTCTCGCTCTCTGTTTTCCCGTTTTTCCCTCTTTTTTGGCTTCAAACCATCTCAGCCATCTCCAAGTCACTCGTCCCCCCAACCCCCCACCCTCCACCATCACTTCTTTACATTGTGAATCAAGGCATGTCACACTACTTAAATATTCTGCAAGAAGAAGTGAGGGAAATTCTCTATGCATTTTGTCAGATCCCTTTAAACCTAGCTGGATAGCTTATTCCCAACACTTCCTCTGGAGGGATTTACTGTAGATTTGGATCTACTGACAGAAAGTCTTTATAGTCCACTGCTCATACCAAATTATACAATCTTTCAATTTGTGCCATCACAGAGTTTTATGTTTATTATAAAGAAAATATGAA